TGTGTGTGTGTGTGTGTGTGTGTGTGTGTAAAAAACTTAATACCAACTTATTAAACTCTCAATGCAGAAAATACCATACCCATTTCCACAGAATTCCCCAATAGCTGAAAAGTTTGGAATAATTTCTGTCCCTGAGGTAAGAGGACTAAAAGCTCCATAAAGTATCCTAGGTGACATTCGTTTTTCCTAATTTCCTAAGTGAATTTTTAATCACATAAATAGGTATCCAAACTGGTGACAATTCACAAATGTGTGAAAAGAAAAAATTGTTTTTCCTATAAAAAAAGAATCAGGGAGCTCTGGTGGCCTAGTGGCAAGAAGCTGCACTGCAATCCCAGAGGTGCACAGTTCGAATCCACCAGATTCTCTGCTGGAGAAGGAGGGACAATCTCCTCCAATACCTGTCAGATCCAATCTAATGGTACACACAGACAAAAAATAATTTAAAAAAAAAAAAAAAAGAAACTGAGTATCAAAAGTAAAGACTGAATTAAAAATGTACCTTGAAGAGTATGGCTCAAAAAAACCGCTGTGCATTTATACAACACTTCTGTCAATTTTTCCAAAAGCAACTGTTCTTGTGATGCAATACCCTTTACTCCCTAACCTACCTGGAGTTTGATTCCCTCAGACGGCTGTGCTGAACCACAGATGTTGCTGGACTGATGTTAGGAGTGGCGCAGCGGGATGTGCTGAGATCACACTGATCCAGTAACTTCAGTAGCTCTTCCTCCGTTGGACCACCTACATCTTGGGGGGAAAAGTTTGCATTAACTCACTTTACGTCCTATGATGACAAACATCTTTACAAGGGGCAACTTACCTTTATCTTCACTTTTGTTAACCATATCCATAGCAGTGGTCAGATCCCACATTTGAATGCTACCATTTGTATGGCCTGTGAACAAATAGCGCCTTGGCCTTGAGCCCATCCTACTGGATCCCTCACACTCTCTCACTGTAAATGAGGATATTGTAGTACAATCAACAGCTTGGATCTCACATATTCTGCAAAAGACATAGAATAGGTGTACATTATGGAGAACAAATAACTTCTATATTTCAGATTATTTATGATTTACAACTTTACAGTTGAATACATATTTAAAACTATTATTTGAAGAGATAAGAGTAAATAAATAGGAAATACAAAGCACTGTTTTAATTAAAAAAAAAAGCTCTTAACAAAATAAAGCAGTAACCAAAATTAAGCAACTAATTTAAATCAATCTTGAAAGAAAAATGCAAAGAGCCTTGATGAGAATGTGCAATTCTTTAAGGAAGCTTGAAACCAAAGAGCCAGAAACACGAAGAGATCTTGAGAAATTAAAACGTACCCATAAATTTTAAAAACTGAACTAAGGAAAAAATACACAGTTAATATGGAAATGGTGTAAACAGCATTTCTCTATTTCACACGACTAATAAAAATCATATAAAAGAAACTAAGGATAATTATTGCGTTAGACAAATTAAAAATCAAAGGAATAATGTAAAATAATTTCCCAAAGATACAAGAATTGAGAACTACATTAAATCATTCATTCCAGTCTATTTCAGAGTTAAGAAGATTTATTGTTTTTTAAAAAAAGACAAGTGGGGGAGAGAGGAAGCCCTGGTGGCCTAGAAGCTATGCTGCAATTCCAAAGACATGGTGTTTCAATCCACAGGCTGCTCTGCAGGAGAATGGGCAATCTCCTTCCATGCAATTAACTGCCTCGGAAAACCTGTTGGAGGGCCAAATGTAAGTTGAATCTGCCTCAAAAGCACACAATATTAAAAAAAAAATAAACCACAAAATAAAGTTAAGAACAATTCACACCAAGCACAACATTAAAAAAAAAACAACCACCACAAAATAAAAAACAGAGGAAGTGGATACAATCTATATAAATGTAGGAAACAAGAATGGACTGTGAAATTTTGCAGAGCATCCTAACAGGCTAGGTAGAAAGGAAGGGAAAAGTTAAGTTTCTGAAGTTGTTATCATAGAGAACCCATGGTGACAATGGTAAGTGCCTGATTGCTAACCAAAAGGCCTTGGATGAGACTCATTCATGATCTGCTGTCCTTAGAACTACAGGCACTGGTAGCTCTATGAGGTAGTTCTACTCCCTTCTATAGGATGAGCCAGTCAGACTGACAAGCCAATTGCCAGTTCTTTTGGCCAATGGAGCTGCTGCTGACTTCTAATTACCAACCTTTTAGTTAATAATCACTGTGTCATCACAATTTTTTCTATCATTAAACCTACTGGCACTGACTCAATTCTGACTCATAATACTTCTTCCTAATTGTTGATAGGGAACTCTGGTGGCCTAGTGGTAAGGAGCTACATTGTCAGCCTAAGGCAGGCAGTTCAAATCCACCTATGTGGGGAAAAAGATTGAAAAATCAACTCCCATGTGATTTATTGCCTCTGAAAACTCACTGGAGGGTCAGCTATGAGTCAGTTTTGACTCATCGGTACTCAACAACTACTGATATGATTGTTGATCATATCAGTGAAAAATTTATTTCCAGAGAACAACCATTATTTGGTTTATGTTAAGTTCTAATAATTGTAAGGTAACAAATAGACTTAACTATCACACTTTGTTTCTGGTAGCAATCCTATCAGCACACAAAAGGATACAAGATGATGTTAGATAAAAATGACAATTAAACAGCTCCATCTTTACAAGAAAGTGATACCTTTTCCCAGTAGATGAGAGTCTTACAAACAGTTTGTTAGTGATGGGAACAACTTTCTGGATAAACACCTGCTGATCATCTCGTTCACCAAAAGGCCCTTAATCAAAAAACAGAAAATGCCATGAGTAAATTCAAATGTGCTTTCATTTATAAAGCATTAATTTGCTTTTTAATTAATAAAAACAAAGTCTTCATGTCTATCAATTACTTATATCACCAGCAAGTCAACTTGATGAAGATATTTAAAACCAACTGCAGTAGCTCATCAATAGCAGACTAGGAGAAATTCAAGCCACAATTGGAAGAGGACGTAGAAAAAGGGTTACCACTGCTCATGTCTGATAGATTTTAGCAGAGAATATCAGACAGTGTCCATCTGTGTGTTACTGATTATATAGAGGCATTTGAGTGTGTGGATAACAAATTAAGGGCAATACTGAGAAGAATGTGAATTGTGGAGCTCTTCATTGTGCTCGTGGAAATACTGTCCCTACCTAGAACAGAGTCATTTGAACAGAATCAGGGAATACAGAGTAATTTTAAATACGGAAACGTATTTATCAGGATTGTATCCTTTCACCACACTTACTCAACGTGTATGCTAAAACACATAATCTGAGGAGCTGGATTAAACGAAGAATGCAGCATCAGGATTAGAAGAACGCTCTTAATGACCGTAATATACAGATGAGGGAGCTATGGCAGCCAAATGAGTAAGGAGCTGCATGGCCAATCCAACGGTGGGTGGTTCAAATCTACCAGCTGCTCCAAGGGAGAAAAATGTGAAATCTCATGTAATTTACACTCTGAAAACCTGGTGAAGGGTCAGCTAAGGGTTGGTTTCAACTCAGTGGCAACTGTTGCTGTATGCCATCAAGTCAAATATCACTCACAGTGACTCTACGAACAACGGCTCTGAACCTTGCCCTAACCTGAGCCAACCTCACCATCTCTGATACACCTGATCCTGTTGCCATAGTCACTGTGTCAGTCCATCTCATCCAGGGTTTTCCTCTCCTGTGCTGACTCTCCCTTTCCCAAGAATGATGTCCTTCTCCAGGGACTGGTTCCTCCTGACAACATGCCCAAAGCATGTGAGAAGCAGTTTCAAAATCCTTGTGTCCGTGGAACAACTTGGTTTCACACTCTTCAAGACCTATCTGTTTATTCTCTTCGAGTCCATATATGTTCAATACTCTTCTCCAGCACCACAACTCAACAGCATCAATGGGAATTAGTTGCTGTTAATATATAGAGGGAAGATCTGGTAACCCAGTGGGTAAGATGTTGCACTGGCAACCAAAAGGCAGATGGTCTGACTCCACCTGCTGCTTCAGGAAAAGAAGGGAAATCTTTCTTGTGATTTAAAGCCTCTTAAACCCACTAGACGGTCAGCTGTGAGTTGGTTCTGATTAAAATTCAATGAGTATCTGTGAATGAGTGATACACAGATGACAAAGCCTTGCATGCTGAAAAGGAAAAAATATGCCTTGAAGTGCCAACTGTTTAAGATCAAAGACAAATGCTTTCAGTATGGATTACTTCTCAACATAAAGAAAACAAAAACAGCTGGACCAAGAAGCATCATGAACAGAGAACAGACTGAAGTTGTCACGGATTTCTTGGTGGTCTTTATTATCTTTAGGGTGTGTTCAATTTTTTTATTTTATTTTTTTTCCCCCAGAAAAGGGAGATCTATCAGTAAGTTACCATACTGATATTACATTTTTGAAAAGGCATTATTTTTTTGGAAACCACAGTTAACGAGGCTTATTTTTAAAGATTTCAGTCAAAAGGATACAATCTTATGAAGAATAGTAGTTAGTAAACAAAAAAGAGACAAAAGGAAATTCTTCAATGTCATTTACTATTGTCAAGTCCATCTCATCCATGGTCTTTCTCTTTTGCACGGACTTTCTACCCTACCAAACACATTGTCCTTCTCCAAGAACTGGTCCCTTCTGGCAACATGCCCAAAGTATGTAAGAGGGAGTTTTAAAATCCTAGCCTCCAAGGAGCAACCTGTTTTCAACCTCTCTAGGATAGACCTGTTTGTTCTCTTGGCAGTCCATGGTATTTTCAATACTCTTCACCAGCGCCATAGCTCAAAGGCATCAACTCTCCTTCTACCATCCTTATTCACTATCAAACTCTCTGATACTTAGCAAACAACCGAGAAGACCATCAAGTGGATTAAGTGCACCTTGGTCTCTAGACTGATATTGTTGCTCTTGTGCACTTTGGAGGGGTCCTTGACAACAGATTTTCCCAGTGTAACTCCTCTTTTGATTTCTAATTTCTGGGCCCAAGAGTGTTGCTTATGGATCTGGGCAAGATGAAACTGTTAAAAATCTCAATCTTTTTTTCATCTATCATGATACTGCCAATTGTCCCAGTAGTGATGTGTCTTGAGGTTGAGATGCAGTCTATATTGAAGGCTGTGGTCCTTGACATTCTGCAGCAACACTTCTAGTCCTTCTAAGTTTCAGAGAGCAAGGCTGTGATATCTGCATAACGGAAGCTGTTGATGAGTCTTCCTACAATCCTATGTCACCTTTTTCCTGAAGTTCAGTTCCCAAATGATGTTATGCATATATATTGAGAATGTATGGGGAAAAAAGGATACAGCCCTAAACATTCCTTTTTTGATTTTTTTTATTTTGTTCCCTTGCTCCTGATCTAGGCACAGGTTTCATAAGAACAGAATCAGATGTTCTAGGATTCCCATTCTTCTCAATGCAAGGCACAATTTTTTGTGCTCTACAGTCAAATACTCTTATACACTTGATATAACACAAACAGACATCCTTTTGGTACTCTTTACATTCAGCCATGATACATCTGACTTCAGCAATGATATTCCTAGTGCCACAGCCTCTATTAATCCAGCTTGTATTTTTGGTAATTTTTTTTATACTCAATATAGTAGTTTCATGTAATTTAAGTCTAATTTGTCTTTCCTATTCTCCATTATGCTATAATTTCTGGTTATAAAAAAATCATCACAAAAGTTCATCAGTTAACCAAAAGGTCCTATACAACAATTATTTGAGCCAACTGTGGGTACAACTGCAGTCACAAAATTAAGTCTTTCAAATGGATCACAGGGAAAGTGTACACACATGTACCAGTGTGCAGATGTACAGATGGACAAATCTGACTTTAGGTAACTTTGGCTGTAATCAGAAATATCAGTGGAGACATATTATACTGTTTCCCAGTGGACAACAAAAATTCAATAATTACTCTCGGTAGATTAATTATTAGCAATAGGGGAAAAAGATATTAAGGATTTCAAATGAGGACAGCATGACTCTTACCTATAAACAACTATAAACAAGCACTTAGCACTTAGACATGTTGTTGTTGTTAGGTGCCACTGAGTCGAGTACAATTCATAGCAACTCTATGAACAAAAGATCCAAATCTCATTCTATCCTGTGCCATTCTCATACTTCCTGACACACAAGAGCCCATTGCAGCAATCACTGTGTCAATCCAACTAGCTGAGGATCTTCCTCTCCTTCAAAAACCCACCACACTTGCCAGAATCATGTCCTTCTCTAAGGAATAGCACCTTCTAGCAACATGCCCGAAGTATGTGAGGTGAAACCTCATCATTCTTGCCTCTAAAGAGCACTGCGGCTGCACTCTCTAAGACATACATGTTTGTTCTCTTGGCCGTCCATGGGTAGTCAGTGCTCCTCTCCAATACCACAGCTCAAAGGCATCAATTCCTTTTCTATCATCATTATTAGCTCTCAGATGCATAGCAAGTAACTGGAAAGAATATGGCCTGAATCAGATGCACCTTAGTCCTCAAAATGACATCATTACTCCTCAATATTTGAAGAGGCCCCTAACTTCAGATTTTCCCAGTGAAATGTGACTCCTTATTTCCTGATTGCTGGCACCAAGGGTGTACTTACACATAGTATTATTTAAATGTGTTGTTGTTACTGTTGTGTATTATCAGAACCAACCCACAGCTGATCTTCCAGCAAGATTTTAGAGGCAGTAAATAGCATAGGAAGAGACTGTTCATCTTTCTCCCATGAAGCAGCTGGTGGATTTGAACTGCAAACCTTTGGACTGGCAACACAATTCCTTACCACTAATCACCACAGCATCCTATTTTAGCAACAACAATTGCTGGAATCATCAAGCTGTATCCAAGTCACTCTAACCACACGAGAGAGAGCAGAACTGTTCCTAGGTATTTTAGGTGGTAATCTTTACAGGAAAAGATCACCAGATCTTTCTCTTGTGGAGCCACTGGCAGGTCTGAAATGGGTGGTTAGTGGTTGAGTGCATAAACATTACTCATCAGAACTCCTCAGAAAACAGCAATTAAGATGAAAAATTTGTTCTCATTACTTCTCTTTTTTCCTCTCATTACTCTCTCCTTAATTAATAATTAAAAAGAATAATATAATTTTTTGAATTTATAGAATTCATTAGATATATGTCATTAAATACAAACTTCAAAATTAAGATGAAAAATTTCTATCTAAAACCCAATTTTAGACGTCTAGCTAGAAAGGGCTATTCCTTGAAGGGACATGATGCTCAGAAAGGTAGATTGGCAAAGGAGAGGAAGACCTTTGACCAGGTAGATTGGCATGGTGACTGCTGCAATGGGCTCTACTGTGTCAGGTAGTGTGAGGATGGCACAGCATAAGACAGAGTTCAGATCTGTTGTTAATAGGGTCGCTATGACTTGTACTTGACTCACCAGCATATAGCACCAACAGCAGCAACAGAAGAGTATTTCAAATAGTCTAAAGCACTCTAACCTACCTATGTCATTTCCAGAAGAATAGCTCCCATGGCTCTCTGTCTCCTCCAGAGATAGGATCTTGAATGATGCTAAAGGAGTAGAACCTGGCTGGGTAGAGATCATTCCTCTAAATCGCGTTACTGTCCAAGTACGAACGTGATTATTATCTGCACACACTAGGAAACAGAACACAGAAAAGCTGTTACACCACACAGTCAGAGCATCAACAAAATAATTTTTATAACCAAACTTTGACTTTGTTTTTTTAAATTAAGACCTACATTAAATAGAGGATAACATATACAGAATAGCAAATTATGTATCTGTCTTAAAATGATGGTTAACATGGTACTGAGACAACAAAGTTAAAGAACTGAATATGGTTTATCTTGCTATACATTTAAGGTTGAATTAATCTATAGAGGCTTATAAATATAGCTTATAGAAGACAAATGCAGGAAAGATTTAAAAAAGGTGTAAGAGAGAAAGAATATGTGAGAGTATGTGTGTTATAGAGATGATGCTGAATATTACCTTTTCCATGCTTAAACTTGTAGGTAGTAAACAAGTAGACTCGTTTATTTTGTCCCAAGATGTGGTTGTTTCGGCTTATGCTACTGAAAAATTAAATATACTGAGAATGGAACTCTGATGACCTGCTGTTGTTATTAGGTGCAGTCTAGTCAAGATTCATAACTCCCTAAAAATAGATCTGAGTCCTGCCCTATTCTGTGCCCTCCTCACAATCTCTGACATACTTGAGCCCACTGATGCAGTCAGCGGGACAATCTACCTGACTGAGGGTCTTCCTGCTTCCTCATCCCTCCACAATTCCAAGTATGATGTCCCTCTCCAAGGAATAACCTCTCCTAGCAACAAGTATCAAGAGTGTGAGACAGAACTTCATCATCTTTGCATTTAAGAAACACTCTGGCTGCACCTTTTCCAAGACATATTTGTTCTTTGGCCATCCTTGGAATGATTAACACTCTTCTCCAGCACCACAGTTCAAAAGTACCAATTCTTATGCCATCCTTTGTCATGGGCTAGCTCCAAGATGCATAGCAAGTGAGAGAAAAGAATATGGTCTGAATTAGGAGCATCTTAGTCCTCAAAATGACATCTGTAGTCAGTGACCTAGGGGTAAGAAAATGTGCAGAAATCTCAAAGGCATGTGGTTTTGTGAAAGAAGGATGGACAATCTCCCATGTGATTTACTGCCTCTGAAAATCCTCTGTACGGTTATCTATGTGTTGATTCCGATTGGAGAGCACACAAGAAAAACAACATATATCAAGAGGTCACCTAACAAATAATCTATCTTAATTTATCTGAATATTGTTGTTGTTAGGTGCCATTGAGTCGAGTTTGACACACAGTGATCCTGTGAACAAAAGATCTGAAACCTGTTTTATCCTATGTCACCCTCATACTTCCTGACACACAAGAAAGAGCCCATTACAGCAGTCACCATGCCAATCCACTGGAAAAGGGTCTTCCAACCAGGAGAAGATAAAGTAGATGAATGGGATCTTCTAAGACTCAAATCCCTATGCACATCCAAAAACTTCTCCAGCAGGGTAAAAAGGGAAGCCACTGACTGGGAAAAAGTATTTGGTAATAACATTTCAGATAAGGGACTTATATCCAGAATTTATGAAATAC